CACCTAACCACCCCAGCCTCAGTTTCCCCATCTGTGCTCCAATCTGAGCCGCAATCACTGCTTCTCATCATAACTGAGGACTGCCTAAAACGTAGCTGGGGAGGGTCCCTTCTTACCCATCAGTCTGACCATCTCCAGCGTTGGCTTCAAAGCTCTGCAGAATGTTTCAGCATCTTCTAATGAAAAAACAGACTAACGTTAAAAACAACGATGACCGTTGACGAGGAGAATGAACAAATGGCTCTATAGTCATATGATAGGATACCATCTATTCTAATAAAAGGGTAATATGCTAATTAGACTGGACATCTTCTAGATGACCATCCGGACATCCTTCCTCACAAAGCCAGGCCTGGGCGAAACTGCCTGCCCCGTGGTCCTGGTCGCCAGTGCCTTTGGCTGTAGCCCGCGAGACAGAATAGCCATCTACCCACGGTCCCCTGTAACTGCGGCCGGCCTGGATGAAGCCGGCCCAGGTCTGGGTGCCTGCGGCAAGCCAGTGGGAGGGAAGCCTGGGTCCCGGGTGCAGGGCCAAGGCGGTTAGGGGCGATCAGGTCAGCAGGGGAGCAGTTAGAGGCGATCAGGCATGCAGGCAGGCAGACAGGTGAGCAGTTAGGAGCCAGTGGACCTGGATTGTGAGAGGCAGTCAGACATCCCCTGGGGGTCCCTGATTGGAGAGGGTACAGGCTGGGCTGAGGGGACTCCCACCCACTGCATGATTTTCGTGCACCAGGCCCCTAGTACAGCATTGAAAATGAGCAAACTATAGATAGCATGGACAACCTTGAGTACAAAAAGCAAGTTATGTCAGAACATCTACAGTATGGTTCCCCTTTATATAGAAGCCAAAAACACACAAATCTAAGGATATAGCTTTGGAATACATATTTATGCAGTAAAAGCATCACACAAATTAAAAGAATGATGAACCCAATTTTCTCTTTTTTTAAAATATGTTTTTATTGACATTTTAGAAAAAGAGGAAGGGAGAGAGAGAGAGAAACATTAATAAAAGAAAAATTTGTGCAATTAAAATGTCAGTGTTCAGGAATAATGTTATTGGCACATATTCACTCTCATTCCTTTATGCCTTTTCTATGGTGGCTTTTGAGCTACAGTGAGAGAGTTGAATAATTGAGCCAGACACTGATTTGAAAAACTGAAAATATTTGCTTTCTGGTCCTTTATGGAAAAAGAAGGCCATGTGGTGTTGGAGGCAAAGACTGGAGTGATGTATTAATATTTCCATGCCAAGGATTGACAGCTATCACCAGAGGAAGTGTAGCCTTTTTTCAGACTTCCGCCTTCCAGAACCATGACAGAACACATCTGTGTTGTTTTAAGCCCCTCCGTTGGTGGTACTTTGTTATGGCATTCCCATGAAACTAATGCATCACCCAAATATCCTGAATGGACAGAGACTGCTACATGAAATAAAGAGAACTTTTAAAAATATGCACATTTTTACTGATTTCAGAGAGAGGAAGGGGGAGGGGGACAGAGATAGAAACATCAATGATGAGAGGGAATCATTGACTAGCTGCCTCCTGCACGCCCCCTACTGGGGATTGAGCTCCCAACTTTGGCATGTGCCCTGACCAGGAATCAAACTGTGACTTTCTGGCTCATGGGTCAGTGCTCAACTACTGAGCTACACTGGTGGGGCTGGAGAGAATTTTTAATACACGGGACAATCTGGATGAATCTGAAAAGCATTATTCTGAGTGAAAGAAGCCTGCCTCAAAAGGTTGCATGCCATAGGATTCCATACATGTGACTTTCTCCAATACACAGATCTTTCATGACAGAGAACATACCAGTGGTTGCCAGGGGGCAGAGAGGGGTGTGAGTACAAAGCAGGCAGCGTGACTGAGTCTTTTGAGAGGATAGAGCTAAATGTGGTGGTGGTTATATGAATCTGTGGATGCCCAAAAACTCAGCTAAAACTCACACTCAAGTCAGTTTTACTGTATGTAAATTATAAAATAACATGATAAAATGAATGAGGGGGAAAAGACATACAAATCATGCTGTCGGTTGTTCTTTAGATGGCTGAATCACAAAGTATTTGTCTGATTTGGAGCATCTTAGCCTGGACTTCGTTGGCCTCGTTCGAATCCAAGGACAGGAATTAGAGGCAAAATTGTGTGCATGTGCCATTTTCTTTTGCTTGCTTTCTTTCTTTCTTTCTTTCTTTCTTTTAATATATTTTTATTGATTTTTTACAGAGAGGAAGAGAGAGGGATAGAGAGCTAGAAACACCAATGAGAGAGAAACATCGACCAGCTGCCTCCTGCACGCCCCCTACCGGGGATGTGCCCGCAACCCAGGTACATGCCCTTGACCGGAATCGAACCTGGGACCAAACCAGTTTCGGCTGCACGTGTCATTTTCTAGGAAAGGGTTCAAAGCTTTTATTGTGAAAGTTGAAGTGTGGTCTATGACCCCAAAACCTTAGGAACCACAGGGCAAAAACGAGGCCAACTGTTGATTTCCAAAAGACCGTCCTTCTTGACCCTGCCAGGGTAGGTTCAGTGCGAGGCACTGGGCTTGTGCCCTGACTGGAATCGTACTGTGACCTCCTGGTTCATGGGTTGGTGCTCAACTACTGAGCCACACTGGCTGGGCATGTGTTTAACTTTTTAAGGACCTGACAGACTGTTTTCCACAGAGACTGTCACATTTTACATTCCTAGCAGCAGAGCACGAGGGTTCCAGTTCCTCCACATCCTCACCACTTGTTATTTTCTACTTTCTTTACTCTGGCCATCCCAGTGGGCATGAGGTGGTAGTATCTCATTGTGGTTTTAATTTGCAGATAAATCCCATTTTAAAGTAATATTTTTTAAAAATCCAAGCAATGCAAAAAATCCACAATGAGCAAAATAAAAATAAAAACAGGTTCCAGTTCTGGTTTCCATATCCCCTCACTTGCCTCGCTGTATTCAAAATTGTGACATCTCATTTATTGTAAATATTTTCTTCATTGAGTTGTATTTTTTAAATATATGTTATTGATTTTTTACAGAGAGGAAGGGAGAGGGATAGAAAGCTAGAAACATCGATGAGAGAGAAACATCGATCAGCACCCCCCACACCAGGGATGGGCCCACAACCAAGGTACATGCCCTTGACTGGAATCGAACCTGAGACCAGTCCGCAGGCCCATGCTGTATCCACTGAGCCAAACCAGTTTGGGCTGATGAATTAAAAAAAAATTTTTTTTTCATTAAAATAATTATCTTTTTACCACAATTTAAAATTTAAAGAGAGATTATTTATCTTTATTACTGTTTTTTTGAGGGAGTGTTTCTCCCCCGCCCACCCCCCATGACAACGTCTCAGCTGCCTCCCCCTCCTACACTGAGTTACAGTGGCTTCTGCTCATTCACGAGTCAGTTTCTGTGCTGGCCCCCAGGGGGCGCTGCTACCCTGCTCATGCTCCTCGCAGGCACCTCGGAGGTTGAGACTGAGATTCCGTTTCTGAACCTTTCCCTGCCTGGATTTCTCCTCCGTAAGGTGGGGACGGTAACATTGGGCGTTTGGGGATGGCAGAGGCATGGAAAGCCCCTGGGCTCAGCACCTATCAACACAGACTAATCATGACCGTTCCCTGAGAACACAGATGGAAGAATAGTTTACACTTTCACTATGGAGAATGTCATACATAAAACAGGCAGAATCATAGGAGGAGGCCCTGGTCCCAGCGCTGATCGCCATCACCCCCTAGCCAACCTCACCCCATCCTCCTTGCCACCTGGGATTATTTATAAGCAAGTCGTTCTATATACCTTATCACTCTATAAATATTTTTGTTATGTGTCTTCAAAAGATAAAGATTCTTTTATAACCTAACAATACCCTAAGCACACTTTAAAAGCTTTGAATAGAATTCTTTAACACCCATAGATCCCAAGATGGCCAATAAAAAGATTGGACTCTCTGTTCAGCTTGGGAAAATTATTACTTTTTTTTTTTTTAATTGAACTCAGAGAGGAAGGGAGCAGGAGAGAGAGATAAAAACATCAATGATGGGAGAGAATCACTCATCGGCTGCCTCCTGCATGCTCTCCACTGGAGATCGAGCCCAGGCACGTGCCCCTGCCCGGAATCAAACCCAGAACCTTTCAGTCCGCAGGCCAATGCTCTATCCACTGAGCCAAACCGGCTAGGGCCTGGGCAACTTATTGAATTTCTCTGAAGCTGATTTTCATTATGAGTAAACCAGGATAGCAAACTGAAGTGCCAGGTCATGGTAGTAGTAGAGAGCATGTATATTTGTACCTGAAGTTTAAAAGTTACCCAACATGTGGCAACATGATTATAGTAACATAACAGATGGAGCAGTGGTTGTCATCCAGGGCATGGAGGTGGGGACTCTGACGCCCAGGGAACAGGGAGCAATGTTGGGAGTGGTGGTACTATGTGCATCTAGTGGGGGAGAGGTCAGGACACTGGCCAACATACCCCCCCCCCCCACACACACACACAGGAGGATGAACTGGCCCCAAATGTCAGCAGTGCCAAGGATGGGAAACGCTGCTCTAGAGACTTCGGTTTTATTAACAGCTGCTGGAACGTGGATCCCCGAGGTGTGGGTTCCGGACTCTGCCACTTGCTGAGCCAGTCTGGTGATAATAGTAGTTAATCGCGGCCAACATTTGGAGGGCCTTTTGCATGATGCAGGAGTAGCGCTAGGCCCCCTATCCATGTGCATTTCATCCTCTTACCAACTCGGGAGGTGGCTGAGAAGACTCCCGTTCAGAGTGGCCCACACATGGCGCTCGCGCTCTCTCTCTCTCTCTCTCTCTCTCTCTCTCTCTCTCTCTCTCTCTCTCTCTCTCTCTCTCTCTCTGGACCTCATTTCTTCATCCGTGGTGCAGGGTCACAGTATTTGCCTCTTGGGTTGTGTGTGGACTGCCAATAGCCAAGGCCAACCGGCTGACCCCTCACAGACCCTCCGCAGAAGCATCTGCTCTGTTGACTGCATTCGCCTGGCACACAACAGTTAACTGCCAATCCTGGCTATGTGCCCGGCTAAGCCAGGGCCTGAGAACCACATAATTTCTCTCATTCTCCCAGTTGCTGGGGGAATTGGCAGCGACAGACCTGGGAAATACCTAAGACAAAAAGTGACTGGGATTGCCAGGGACTTGCCTTCCCATCGGTGCTGAGCTCCAGAAAACTTTATTTTCCAACCTCCTTCCCTAGAGGATTGCAGATTGGCCCTTCCGCCACCAGCAGCAGGAGGGAGAGGGAGCTGCAGCCCCCAGGGCACCCAGGAGGCAGTTGTGGCAGGTCCTCCCCAGGAAAGGCCAGCCCTGCTCCGGGGTCTGCGGTGGAAACGGGAGCTGAGGAGGATGGGTAGCGGTGGGTGAGCCGGCTGGTGTGACCATGACTCACGGAGCACCTACTATGGTCCAGGAACGCCAGTCTTGGCAGACAAGGTCCTTCACTGGTGGAAGTCACATTCGCGCAAGAGAGACGACCAGTAAACAAGCAAAGAAGCCCCAGGTGGGGGTGAGTACCATGCAGAGGATTAAAATAGGGTGATGGCGTCAGAGAGACTGGGAGGTCACTGAGTAATGGGAGGGTGAAGGAAGGCCTCTCAGGAGGTGGCATTTAAGCTGAATGTGGAAGACATGAAAGGATGAGGAATGGGGTATTCCTGGCACGTGCAAAGGCCCTGAGGTCAAAATAAATCAGCTGTGTTAGACCAGGGGTGCTTAACCAGGCATTGTTACAGCGAGCCTAGTCAACATTGGGAATGTCTGGAGATAGTTGGTGTTTTTTGTTTTTTGTTTTTAATCTCACCATAGGATATGTTTTTATTGATTTTATTTTATTTTTATTTTATTTTTTTAAAGTTGAGACTGATTTCCTTTTTTTTAATTTTTAAATATATATATTTTACAGAGAGGAAGGAAGAGAAATAAAGAGCTAGAAACATCGATGAGAGAGAAACATCGGTCAGCTGCCTCCTGCACACACCCTCCTGGGGATGTGCCCGCAACCAAGGTACATGTCCTTGACCGGAATCGAACCTGGGACCCTTCAGTCTGCAGGCTGATGCTCTATCCTCTGAGCCAAACTGGTTTTGGCTGTTTTTATTGATTTTAGAGGGAAGAAGGGGGGGAGGGGAGAGAGAGAGAGAGAGAGAGAGAGAGAGAGAGAGAGAGAGAGAGACCAATTGGTTACCTCCCATATATACCCTGACCTGGGGGTCAAACCGGAAACCTGGGTATGTGCCTTCACCGGGAATCAAACCCACAACTTTTTGGTGCATAAGATGATGTTCCAACCAACTAACTAAGCCACCCAGCCAGAGCTGGTAATAGTTTTGATCGTCACAACTTGGGGAGGGAGTCCTGCTACTGAAACCCAGTGGGGTGAAGCCAGGATGCTGGTCCTCATCCTACAGGGCACAGGGCACCCTCACTGCAGAGGATGGCATCCCCAAAGGTCCAGCCCGCTGCGACGGGAAAAGTCTGGGTGGGAGGGGAGACAGAAAGCCTGGTGTGAGTGTCCAGGTTAACCCCTCCCAATCCTTCTATAAACTCCAGATCATGGTAACCAAGGGACTGTGGCCTGCACTGGAGTGGGGTCACATCCAAGAGGCATCCTGGGGACCCAGGATGTGGGAAAAGCAACAGAGATTTCCAGGGAGGCAAGTCCCAAGTCAGGAGACTGACGACGACGAGAGGCTACGGCAAGGCCCTCGACCAGTGGTTCTCACCCTTCCAAATGCCTCGACCCTTTAATACAGTTTCCCATGTTGTGGTGACCCCCAACCATAACTATTGGAGTCTCTTTCACGGCCCGCGTAGAAAGAGTTCCAATTCAGGGTTCAGCTTCTGGAGAAGGGCCGCACACAAGTGAAAAGAGACTTGAAGAAATTCAATTTGGCGATTTGGGGGGCCAGGCGGTAGTCCAACTCTAGTGGGAGAACTATGACTGCTCTGGCCCTGCCATCCCCTTTTATTGAGGCTTAACAGCTGCTTCAACTTAACATAATCTCAACTAAAGGTTAAAGCAATTGAGGTTGTTGACCAGCCTTCCTGGCTTCCTGTCAACATCTCTTTCCCAGCTGAAACTGATTTGGTTTCCAGCACATAACATTATTTTCGTTGCTTCTTCATAACTGTCATTTTGCTACTGTGATGAATCGTAATGTAAATAGCGACCCTCCTGCTAGCGGTTCTCACCCTGAGAACCGCTGCTGTAGAGCCTAAGACCATTGGGAAACACAGGTATTTACATTACCTTTTATTTTTAAAAATATATTTTATTGACTTTTTTACAGAGAGGAAGGGAGAGAGATGGTTAGATACATCAATCAGCTGCCTCCTGCACACCCCCTACTGGGGATGTGCCCGCAACCAAGGTACATGCCCCTGACCAGAAACAAACCCGGGACCTTTCAGTCCGCAGGCTGATGCCCTATCCACTGAGTCAAACAGGTTTCAGCAGGATTCATAGCAGTAGCAAAATGACAGTTATGAAGTAGCAAAGAAAATAATGTTATGGTTGGGGGTCACCACAACACGAGGAGCTGTATGAAAGGGTTACGGCCTTAGGAAGGATGAGGACCACTGGGCTAGACAGACACTAGAGCTCAGAGCTGAGGCTTGGAGCTGTCAGCAGAGTGAGACTAAGCCAGAGGGTCTGGGTGGACTTGGGGACGCTGGCTGGATGGCCAGGCTGGGAGTGGAGGTCCCTGAAGGAGAGGAATGGCAGTATTTGCTCCCGACCCTGTGCTTCTAGGCTGGTGAGAAAGTTCTCCCCCTGAGCCTGTTTCCTCTTCCATACAATGCCGACAGCTAACTCCACATCACAACATCCATCAGGCCCGAGAGGAGAGGTCTCACTCGGCAGGCCTGGCGTGTCCATACCCAGCCGGCGCAGGAAAGCTCTGGCCTTCGCCCAGCTCCTGGGAGGAGCCCTTTAAAAGCCCTGGAAATAACCTGGCTGATAAGACGGTCTTTGTGAACTTGGGGGCCTTGGGATATGCCAGGTGATCGATGCTAACACCCTGACGTATGCCAGGGGCCCTGGGCCACGTGCTATGAGCTGGGCTGCTGGAGGGGCTGGAGACTGAGGTCCGCTGTGTCTAGATGAGCCATACCCAGTGAAAACCCTGGACACATGCCGAAACCGGTTTGGCTCGGTGGATAGAGTGTCGGCCTGCGGACTGAAAGGTCCCAGGTTCCATTCCCGTCAAGGGCATGTATTATACATTGGTTGCGGGTACATCCCCAGTAGAGGGTGTGCAAGAGGTAGCTGGTCGATGTCTCTCTCTCATTGATGTTTCTAGCTCTCTCTCTTCTCTCCCTTCCTCTCTGTAAAAAAATCAATAATATATATTTAAAAACAAAAACAAAACAAAAATCCCTGGACCCTAAGGCTTGGTGAGCCTCCCCAGCTTGCGGTACCCCGTGCACGTTGTCAGCCGTCATCGCTGTGAGAATTAAACCCTGTCCGCACGACTCCATGGGAGGGGACCATTAGAAGCTCAGGCCTCTGCCCTGGGCTCATGTCAATCTGTGTCCTGAAGTGTGTGTGCGGCTTCCCCAAAGGGACCTTCCCTCAGGTACCACCCAGGGTCCAGCAGGATCTGCTCGTTCATCTTTTTCATGAAACCAGTGTTGGGTGATCTTACACGGAAGGTCTCCTTTCAGCTCACCTTGTTTTAGCAACGAGACATTTACAAAAGAAAGGGGACAAAAAAATGAAATAATAATAATTTAAAAAAAAAAACATATATGGCCCTGGCCGGCTTGGCTCAGTGGCTAGAGCATCGGCCTGCAGACCCAAGGGTCCCAGGTTTGATTCCAGTCAAGGGCATGTACCTTGGTTGCAGGCACATGCCCAGCAGGGAGTGTGCAAGAGGCAGCTGATCGATGTTTCTAACTCTCTATCCCTCTCCCTTCCTCTCTGTGAAAAATAAATAAAATATTTTTTAAAAATATATGCACAGAAAGAAAAGGGAACATCACAGAGACATCAGGCAGAGCTGTTTATTTATTTATTTATTTATTTATTTATTTTATTGATTTTTTACAGAGAGGAAGGGAGAGAGATAGAGAGTTAGAAATGTTGATGAGAGAGAAACATCGACCAGCTGCCTCTTGTACACCCCCTACCGGGGATGTGCCCGCAACCAAGGTACATGCCCTTGACCGGAATGGAACCTGGGACCTTTAGTCCACAAACCGGCTTCGGCCAGAGCTGTTTTATTTAGAAGAGGCCTGCTGGAGCTCTGAAAGACGACCAAGAACGCATCCCGCCTGTTATTTACTAACATTTAAATGGAAATGAGATATTTTGAATGGCCAGCATTAGGGTGTATAGCAACTTGTGCAGATGGTCCCTGACTTAGGATGGTCTGACTGAGAAACCGTTGACTTTGTGATGGTGGGAGCGTGCTATGCGTTCAGTAGACGTCCGACTTCGAATCCTGAATGTGGATCCTTTCCTGGGCCCAGGGTATGTGGGGCGGACTCTCTCCTGGTGCTGGGCCGTGGCAGGGGGCCAGCTCCCAGTCAGCCATGTGGTCATGAGGGTGGACAACAGACACTCTACAGTGTGGCATTAAGTGCATTTTTGACTTACAATATGTTCAACATGTAATGTGTTTATTGGGATGTAACCCCATCGTTAAGGCAAAGAGCATCATATAATGAAAAGTAAGTTTCCCTTCCGATTCAGGCCTCGAAACTCCCTGTTAATCCGCATCCTTTCACTTTAACAAACCATAATTACGAGTAAAACAGCTTTTTCTGAATCCCGTGAGTCCTTTTAGTGAATCCCTGGAACTGAGATGGCCTTGGGGGCCCCAGAGCAGCAGGGTCTTTCCTGGGTGGACAAGGCAGGGAAGGGAAGTTGAGGCAGAGAAGGAAGAGGTACGGAAAAGCTCACACTGCTCGGTGGAACTGATGCTACTGTTTCTTGAGTGCCCGCAGGTAAAGTGGGGACTTTACTTACCATCCCCAAGTGCTTGGTGCACATGCTGTTGGTCACGGGCATTTAGGCATTCATCTTGACCTTCAGGCACATCTCACTTCCTCATGCGCTGCCCCCGAGGGGGTGCCTCACTGTCTGCCCCCAGCCCACCCCGAGTGGGCCTCACTCCCGTTTCACAGACCATGCGGCTGAATCCTCCGGGAGGCGCTGGGGAGACGAGGAGACAGCACTCCCGCCGGGCTGTGGACGCAGAGGTGCAGCTCCCTTCTGTCTGTGCTTTGCTAATATTGGCAGGAGGGTGGGTGGGCAGGCCTTAGATCTCCAGGGCATTTCCAGTGAGGTCTAATCCTGAGAAGGTCTTGCCCTGGCCACACAGCCTGTGTTTTTTTATTATGTTTTTCCTCGCTTTATTGTGATGTAATCAACACATACTATTGTTTAAGTTTGTGGATTTGATGCACGTATATGTCACAAAATGGTTACCGTCGTAGATTATCTAACGCCTTTATCACATAGTTACCATTTGTGTGTGTGTGTGTGTGTGTGTGTGTGTGTGT